AACCACACCAGGAGCAAACAACACACGTCTGGAATAAGGTCAGCCATTTTTATTGAGAATTTTCACTTTTAACTACCTCCATGGATATCTTGTAGAAAACCCCATATAAACTCTTATAATTCGATGCCGTGTTGTGTTGCTTGTGTGGTTCATAGAGAGAGCTTGGGCTGCCTGTGATAAAACTGAAGTCTGTGTTGGAGCCCAGTGGACCATCAGGCTGGCACCTACCGGTAACTCTGCCCTCTGAAAATCATGTACTTTCTGTTTTAGGTAGCAGAGCTGGAGCCTTTGATTGCAGAATGTGCGAAAGGGTGTACCAAACTGAGGAAGAGTTGGAGAAACATCTGCTCAATCATGCTGAACATCGCCCTTACAAATGCCCTCAATGCAACAAAGGATTCAAACAACCCTGCCATCTTAATCAACATCTGCGAACGCACACAGATGAACGACCATTCCCTTGTGAGGTGTGCCGCAAATCCTTCAAGCAAGCTTGCCAGCTCAAACAACACATGAGGCTTCACACAGGAGAGAAGCCATACCACTGTTCGCAGTGCAGTCGCTCATTCAAGCAAGCCAGCCAATTAAACCAGCATGTCCGCCTCCACACTGGTGAGAAGCCCTACAAGTGCAGCCACTGCGACAAGACATTCACCCAGGCCAGTCAGCTCCGCTCACACAAGAAGACACACGATCCCAAACCAGAAAGGAAAGCCATGTCAAGGAAACCGAAGTCTTTGCCACGGGGAGGGGTGGTTTTACCTGCTTTCACCACAAAAGTTTCTACGCAATCCATGGTATATCCTCAAAAACAACCCAGCTTCAGCCCTCCCTTGAAAATGGATCATCCAACATTTGGTGGTAATTTCAAACCTCCACTCCCATATGGTGCTGCAGGCGCAAGTTTACAGGTATGTCACATGCGAGAAATCCCGGTTTCCACTATACCACATGACTTCACAGTTGGGTAGACTGCAATAGACTTCTTTCAATGGACGTACTGTATTTTAGTGGTTCCAGGCAAATAATGTAATAATTGCAGGGCTCTATTCTACATGTGCACGTACATTTTGCCATGCTTGTTTGCTGCAGGTATCTCTCTCAGCCTTTGGTAATGAGTTAGTTAACTGTTAGGCAACTGTTAGCACTTTTACTAACAGTACTTGTAGAATTCAGCCTTGAATACAGTAACCATAATTATTGTAAGTTGTTATTATTAAATGATAAATTATTACAGCTGTATGACTCATTTTAGAAGTCTCATAGCCAGGAATAAGAATGGGCACGCGAGCATTTATGATACTGTTTGAAGGGACAGGGAATGTATGGTATAAACAGTGACACCTAAGGCCAAACAATGGACTACCATTGCAATATTAGGTTATTCGAACTTTCAAACGCTATTGACAGAGGTGCAGATTGTTGATAGTCTTAGTGAGAACTGTAAGCATTGAAGTTGAAGTAATATATCAAACAAAAAAGACAGTCTTTCACCACATTTCCAGACACCACAAAGAGAGTTGAAAATATGACGCACAGCGGATTATTTTTGACGAGCTTTTGATGAACAATGTCTTGAGTGTTTGATATATATCTTCTCAATCAAAACAGAGGAAAAAATCTTAAAAATCTCTGCTCATTAAGATCAGATATCTGTTTAAACGCTCTGAATTATTAATGAGTTTGAGAAGTCTGAAGAATACATTATTGAACTGGGTGATGAACAACTATAACCATGAATTTCCAGCATAGTAAAAATCCCTTGTCACCCCAGAGCAGAATTATAAATGCTCACACACCCATTTTTGTACCAGGTTTTTCTAAATGAGTTATGGTAATGAAATTACCATGTAAAGCTTTTTTTGTATGTGTCGTGAATAATTATCCTTAAATATACAGTATTCCTTTAGTGCACGGTAGCTAGTGTGATGTCCAGCAGTTTTGAACAAAATATCACACCGAAAGAGAGGGTTGGTTGGTTGGAGACACTTTGAAGGAAGAGATTTAAAGGTGAGCTTCCATTAACAGCCTGCCATTTACAGTTTACTCTGTAAACCAATCTTCTTATTTCCCGTTTGAGCGTAAGGCAAAGCCTGTTACTTAAAACACTGTTATTAGTTTCTGAGCCATTGTACTTGTACAAGATGCAGACCTGTTCTAGAGTGCTTAATCTTGTTATGTTGAAGCATAGCTTCAAGTCTCAATTGTGGACATACATTGTGTATGGTACATGTCAGTTATTTTATGGTGCGCAGAATTGAACATTCATTAGATAATTAATTTATTTCAGTATTTGCTGTTAAGGGTAACTGATAGAAGATAGTTATCAAGAGTTAAATATAGAGTACTATAATTTAGAACAATTGTAATATTTCGCATTATTTTGTTATTATAGTAACATTTGTCAGAGTATTTAAATAGAAAATGTAGACCATTTAATATTTTATTTTGTACATTGTCCCAGCTGTTACAGATCAATGCTTATGTGAATACAGCAATGAGTAATCATTACCAATTCATGAATTGCAAGTGATAGCCCATTGCAAAAAGACACTCAAGTACAGGTTATAAACACACTGTTAATTAATTTATTATTAAAAGTCAGCTGTTCAGATGAAGATCACCAAATTGTTAGCAAAGGTTAGGGTGACAGCTCTTGAAATGCTGACAAATTTTAAGGGAGCCTCTATGGATTGTATCAACATGTTTCCAAACCATACATCAATTAAAATGCTTTGTGGGTGATTAAATTATTCCTTTTGCCAGCTTGCTTTTTCGTATTTCAGCTCAAGACTCTGACTCAAACTTGGTTGGGTTTCTGGTCTTAGGGTAAAATGCATGTTACATGTAATGCTTTTAAAACATTTTTATCTAGTTGATTTGACATACTTGTCCCCATTCATCTGTTTTCTTGCAATGGACTATGATTGTGCAATTGATGATTCAATAATTAATATTACATGTAATTATTACTCATTGATTTATAACGACATTGATAAATTGTCGCTGGATGGTATTACTTTGTAGGTATTTCAAGAGCTAATAAATAGTAAATTAATTATTGTTAATAGTAAATTATTATTTTGAATGTACAAAATACTTTTGCTATGTCTGGAGACAATAAATTCCATGTGGAGCAGGAACATACATCAATTAAGTAACAAGGAAGATAACATACTAGCGTCCTTTTCTGTGTAAGCGTTAGCTAGTAGCATGGTTACCATGCATGTTAATATTAATAGAAGTCCATATTCGTCACTATGAGAGACACGTACTTGCCTTCTATGCAGACTTTCTTTAGGCTCATCTGCATCGGAGGCTCATGAAGGTACATTTCTGTAGAAAGCTATTTCATTAGAAATTAGGGAGGTTACAGTGTGACTGCTCCAACCAAGGCCACCCTAGCAAATTCTCGGAAAATTGACCAGTAATGTTTGAGTATTAAAACAATAAAAATGGTTCCAAAATCATCTCCTTTATTGTTCTGCCCAGCTTGGTTGGAGTGATAACTTGTCAAAATTATTAATATTATTTGAACATCCAAGTTCTTCATTCAGCAATTTTCTTATTTTGTCTGTTGACCTTGTTTGGAGTAGTCACACTGTAAAACTTGTTATGGAAAGGTCTCATTTTTTGGGAATGTAGAATAACTTAAAATTAATAGTGTACAAGTTTCCAAGTGCAGCTTTGGTATAAGAGAAAATTGGTTCAATCTACGAGTGAAATCAAAGTATTTCTGAATTTTCCTATGGGTTGCCAGTACATGTAGGAAAAAAAAGGTACTAGATTTTTTTTTCTCCTCTGCTAATAATAAGTACAGTTCTGTAGTTTTTCATAATCTGAATTCCCTGATGGATATGTATGGGACAAAATTTGTTTTTTGTGTGAACTAACCGTAGCCTGTGAAAGCAGTTGGTTTTTTTTCATATCATCATGAAACAACAAGTAAAAAACAACAACTAGGAAAAATCCAGCTGCTTCTGCAGACAAAACTGCAAAATATTGTAAGCTGCATGTGCAGTGTCATGAGGTACATCCTTTATCTACCAAGCAGCTTTTGTTGCTATTATCAAGTCATAAGTTTGAGAATTTGATCTGCCTTGATCTGTCATGTGACCTTGACAGACCTTCCCTCACACCCTCCCCACCNTCACTTCCTCAAAGAAATGGTCCTGGAATTAAATGGATACCAGAAATGGAAAGAGTTTGATAAAGATAGTAAAATAGCTTATTATGAGACCGTTGATGTTTGGTGGCAAGACATTTTGGCAGATTAAACAAAAAATGTAAGACTTGCATACTGGATTACAGAAGCAACATGTATCATCCAGCAACTTTCATCTTAGCATGACATCTAACACATAAGCATCTATGATCTCAAAGTTAGCTATTTCACTAATTCCAGCACTCCCTTTCCATTTTTAGATTCCATTTTGTACTGCAGCCATTTTTTCTGATGAACAAGTGTTAAAAAAAAAATCCTATCACATTCCTTGTAGCCAATTTAGGTCAATGGCACCATTCTGGATTCCTTGTGGAAAACTTGAAGTTTTTTTAAGCAATTTAAAACTCATGGCACTTGCACTTTCAGGTTTTTGAGTGGCCTTTGCATTCACCCTGTCTTAATTTTACCTAAACTACAAAACCACACAAAGCAATGGCTGGTCTTCTTTGCAAATGTTGTTTAGATTACCCTGCAACGTTTCCTCTGCTAATTAAAATGACAGAAGCTTTGTGTGACAAGCTAAGTAACAGATGCAAAGAGGACTAGCGCAAGGCATGCTGGGATCTCCATGACAACATTGCCTAACATTTTGTTATTGTGGTTGCTTTAATAGAGGAATAACGGTTCTAATTAAAGTGAATTCCTTTGGAACTAGCGTTTGAAGTAAATACAATAGAATCTTGATAACTAGAACCCGGGATTGAAGATAATATCCTGGGAGTGGGGACTCTCCTATGAAAAGGAGAGGGGTGCTCATTTGAAATGCTGAAAAGAACCGCTAATAGGTACCAAGGTCCTGTTTTGTGGGCGTGGCTTGAAACTTTTATCACCCCTAAGAGGTACCTATTCTCAAATAACACATCAAATGGCATTGACTTTTTTCAGCTTAATACCCTAGAAAAGGTACCACGAAAGCTCCCACTGGGGATCTTCTTAGGCTGAACACCCTAAGAGATATCAAATCTGTTTTTTAAACCCTAAAAGGTATGACAAGCACCCTTGTCCTTGTCATATGAGAGTCCCACCGGGGAGGGGGGTGGGTAATATTCTAATAATTCATACTTGTCAACTCAATGAGCTCCGAGGATTGCAATGTTTTGATGAACCAAAATATTAGGAAAGATTGTGATGCCATATTTAGTGTACTGTAGTGTTCAGATGAGGGGTATTTAGTTTGGTACATGGAGTGCTAATAGTACTACGATAGTTATCATACACTGGATGACTCAAATTCTCAATAGCTCAAACTGTTTCACTCCCCCTGCGGATTCAAGCTTTTAGGATTCTACTGTATTAACATTACAAAAGATTATTAGTCCTTTATATTGTTTTTGAACTTTCTGCACGGTAACTTACAGCATGTTAAAATCAAGGTTACTGTTAATTAACAAAGCCCTTTCACCCCCAGAGGCAGGTCTCAGGTTTATTAAGATGGCTCAAACACTTGTGGCTGTGGACAAATTAAATCTCTTGTGACTGTTCAGTGGCATCTTTTGAGCAGTATAATGACACTCTAGGTGCTGTTAAGTCAGTTGACAAACTTAAGTGTGTGACCATTAAATTGTAAGCTATTGATCAGTACTTTCACATGGTACTGTTTATTTTTGTGTTATTTTTTCCAAATTTCTTTGCATGCGAAAAACTGTGAGTGACCTTTTTAAATGAAACTTGTCGGGCAGTACTTTTATCTCCACATGTTTAACACTTTGTTTATGGTTTTTTTTTAATATTTTACTATTAAAATGAAGTTGTTTGATTTTCTGTTTTTGGTTTTGGTTTTTTTCGTTGTTATTATTATTATTTTTATTAATATTTTATTTTGTTTTTTTTTCCCCTGGGATTCAGCACTCCTGGAGGTGAAAGGGTTATAGCACATTGTTTCTAGTTTGGAGACCTTAAAGAAACAGATTATTCAAAGAAATTCAGAAAATTTCTTTTTTGCACTGCTAAATAATTTACCCTAAGTTTTGCTAAGAGTTTGTTTAAGACTCCTCTAACTTTAGTTTTGATCTTGTTTATTAAATGAGCAAACAATGCTTTTAAAACCTTTTGAATTTTGGCTAGTACATGTATGTGGGGCAATTATTGGATATACATTTAAATTATTATTTTGTTTGACCAAGAGAGATATAGGTGTGTTTGCTGAGAAAGTAAGATAGATATTTATTTTTGGTTCGCCATTAGACGGAGGTATTGACTTCCGAGAAAACATGCAAATAATTGTAATTTGATAACAAGGTTTAGCATTGTCATCACCACTGAGTTTCTTAATAGTGTAATAGAATTGTGTGAAAGTATTTGTAAC